ACCATTCACTAGAAGAGGGTTATCAAACTGATATTGTCACGGTGGCGTCACATGACGTATCAGGACTCCCAGGCGTGGGCATGGCCAGCGCGTGGCGCATCTGGCCCATGGGCTGGGAATTTGATATCCCTGTACTAGAACAACCAAAGCCATTTTTATTGATGACCAGGATGATACATTTTCCTGTAGGATTCTCTGTAGTAAATTATTTGACAAAAATGCCCTAAAATATGTATTTTAAAAATAAGCATTCCCTAAGAATAATATAGGAGGAGGAAATGCTATTGTTTTTTTTCTCTTCCTCATAGATCGAGAGAACCAATCAATGCTGATTACGTAAGTGACTCTTCTCAGATGCTTTATATTCATAAATTACTTTTGGTGATAGTTTCTGGAATTCTTAGCAGAATGTACAAATCTAACGGAACTTCATTTTATTCTTGATTGCTAAACCTTTCCATTTGGGCATACAGTTAATTTTGCCCTTATTTTCTAAAACAAACCTTGGTTTGTATGAAAGCTTTTGATTGAGATTACCTTAAATCATAAATCTGGCACATTTCAAACAGATTGTTCTAGTATTCCTTCCTAACAAGCATGGACTGTAGATTTTAATGGCTCTTGTTTGAGAAGTACTTTTAGAACATATTAAAAACTATGTTGAGTTATGATCAGGTTTCTTTTATTCCAGTTCCTTAATTGCCTCAGGGCCCAGTTAAAAGCATCACATCAACAGCCTTTACCTGATACTGCTCATTAAAAACTTTTATTCAGTGGCACATTGGCTATGAGCTAGCATCATTACCATTATCCATGGAAAGTGTTATCCTCCATATTTGATACACTTTCCTTTTTTCTTTTATGTCTGGACTGCAGCTATAGGGATAACCATCAGATGGCAGCAGAGTTCCCAGTGTGTTTCTTTTCTGCCACATAGAGGTCATCTGGATTGTTGTAACCAAGTTCTGGTAGTCCCATTTTTCTGTAAACATTCATTGAAAGACCACTTTTTTTAAAGGGAAAGGTGGCTGAGTCTCATTACAAAAAGATTAATTTTTAAGTTGTATTTTCTTGTAAATTAAAATGTTGAGATGCTATCATCTTTCTTTTGTTTACAGTGGAGAATCTGGTGCTGGCAAAACTGTGAACACAAAACGTGTCATTCAGTATTTTGCTACCGTTGCAGCAATTGGTGAACCTGGGAAGAAAAGTGTAAATACAAATAACATTTACTTTGTATAAACAATGACTAGACAATCACAAATAGCATAAAAATTACCTATGATGCTTTAAAGAGATTCCAAGTGTAAAAAGACCATGAATCTTTTCTCCAGTAAGTTTAACTTATCTAAAAGTTTGCACCATTGTTACAATAGTTATGACTGGGCTTCAGGTGTATCTTATAGGTGTATTAAATATATTCTCTCTCTTTCTCTCTCTCTCCCTCCCTCTCTTATCCTTTTTCAAGAGGCAACTAGACTTTCTTCTTTTTCTTTGAAGATGTTTCGCTTCTCATCCAAGAACTTTCTTCACCTCTGACTGGATGGCAAGGAATGGAAGGACTGAAAAATACAAATCCTTCCATTCCCTACTATCCAGTCAGATGAAAAACAAGAATCTTAGAATTAAAATAATGATGTGTCACATATCAAAGTGAATTGTAAAAGAAATACCTAGTAAAATCACAACTGGAATGGATTGATGAATATATGTTCTTGGTCTTCTCTTCAATTTTGTTTTTATGTTTTGTTTTAAACAGCAACCAGCCACCAAAACCGGGGTAAGTTATCTATATTTGATTTTGTGCTATCAAACTGTTGTTAACTCTTAGTGACCATATAGTGACTGTGCAGGTAGTCATCTATATTACCAAAAGTTAATCCAAGCATTTTCTGAAGTTTTTAAGTCATGCATGCTTCAAACTGTAAGTATTAGTTTGCCTGCATCCATTTATTGAATTATAACTGCAGTAACTGAAGTGGAACACATGATTCACAACCCTTCCATATTTGCTATATAATTCCTGTCCTTAGGAATATGTTACCTCCTGAGGTGAGATTGGCTCCCAGCCTCCTGACTTTTCGTAAGAGCCTTAAAACCTGATTCTGTCAGATGGCTTGAGGTACTAATGGGGGAACTTTACATTGGAGGTGGCTGACTAATTAAAAGCTAATCCCATACCCTCCCTCAAGTATCTGGCTCCCCCTTCTTCATATTGTGTTAATGGTTTTATTTTGTTTCACTTATTTTATATTGGAAATTTTTAATATTTTAAAATGTTTAACATAATCTAATGTTATGTTGCAAGCCACCAAGAGTCATTTGAAATTAGACAGGTGGCAAAAAATTCCAATAAGTAAATAAATACAAAGTAAAATCTTAATTGCAGGGAAGGATGGAATTATTCTGTAATGCTAAACCAATATAATTTAGGATATCTGACCAAATACTTCAGTTTCTTCATTATAGAATAAACTGGCTGACCTTGGGACAGTCATTTCACTCTGTCCAAAAACTTTGTGAATATGAAATGGGAGAAAGATCTCCTATGTCAACTTGCTTGAGCTTCCAAAATAAAGGAATTTAAATTGGAAGGATTAGCAATTGTCCATGTGAAAGCTATTCTGCAGTTCTGTCCATATCTTAACCCTGATTTAACTATTCTATCTGAATAGCTGCTCTCGTATATTCTTTGCATAGTGTTGCATTCTCTGGTTTATCAAGGTGAAGTCAGAAATTGGGTGTAGGGGTTACATTCTAAAGGTACTTAAATTTTTTTGCATTGTAAGGGAACCCTGGAAGATCAAATCATCCAAGCCAACCCAGCTTTGGAAGCTTTTGGGAATGCCAAAACTCTGAGAAATGACAACTCTTCACGTTTTGTAAGTAGCATTTCTAACTGTGGAACATTACCATCTTGTATTATGTTCATAAAATAAAAGCAGAAATTGAATTACATTATAATCAGTTTTTTAATAGTACTGTATTCTTTGATTAAGTTATTGGATGGTTTTTTACAAGTAATGTCAACAGCTGTTCTGCTGTTACTTATTGGAACATTTTGGCACAGAAATTGTACCGTCTTGGGATTTTAGCAACAACTTGGCAAGCTAAAGCATAAGCAAACAGGACTTGATTTATTCAGGTTTTCCTGCTATAAAAATGGCAGAAAAAAAGGTGTTTAGAAATGGTCCAGAGGGAATTCAAGTCAAGAATTTTATACATTAACTTTTCTAGTCCCGTCAAATCCAGCCAATGATTTTTTTTTCTTTTTATGACCCTATAATCCCTTTTATCAGGATGGAGTTGAAGCAAATGAATGGAGTGAGCGTTTACTGGCCAGATTCCCTCCCTGATGCCTACACAGAGTTTGCAGCAGATATTTTCTCTTTGATAGAGAAACATCTGTTGCTACCTAGGATTGAACTCTCTGCCTCCTAAGTGCGAGGCGAGCGTTTTCACCTCTAGGCCACTGCACCACTCAAATCTAGCAGTGATAATTGTCCTAAATCAGAATACAGTACTAAAAGTTTCTGGTTCCCGCATAGGGAACCATTTCCTTTGGAAATATTTTTCTCTTTCTGTGCTCTATCTTTCCTCTTACCATTGCCAATACTGTTATGTGCTTGGAGGATATACTGTTTAATCAGAAACACACCCTAGTACCACAGAGTTTAAATATATGGAGTTGGCTCTCCCACAAATTCTATGCTTTATGGTCTTAGCAAACTCTGTCCAATTGATTTTCCTCCCCAGATGTTAATTTGTTAGACACCATTGAATGTGATACTATCTATATCCTTAATCACTATTGCCTGTATAGTTATAAAATACTGTCACATTAGAAAAGAACAGAACAGAAAAACAGAGTTGGAAGAGATCTTGGAGGTCTTCAAGTCCAACCCCATGCTTAGGCAGGAAATCCTATACCTTTTCAGACAAATGCTTGTCCAATCTCTTCATAAAAACTTCCACTCTTGGACCATTCACAACTTCTGGAGGCAAGTTGTTCCACTGATTAATTGTTCTAACTGTTGGGAAATGTCTCCTTAGTTCAAAGTTGCTTCTCTCTTTGATTAGTTTCTATCCATTGCTTCTTGTTCTGTCCTCTTTTTTTTTCCCTCCTGTTTAAATGTTTTATTCATTTTCATTTTCAATTTTGTACATTCACTTATATACTGGATATTTACAATAAT